TTGGCTGACCCAGCTGGGAGTATGAGACTCCCAACGGCTTCGCTCACAAGGGTCATAGGAACGTGCAAGCCCACTCACCACGACAAGGTGATGATCCAGTGACTGAGTCCACCTTTTCTACTCTGATTCCTTCCAGATGTTTTGAACTGCAGATCATAGTCCAAAACTTCTGGAATGTTCTATGTTAGCAAGGACTGAGCTAGATGGACCAGTGGTCTTCCTCAGCAAAAAGCAACTTCTTTTGTCTTTGGAATTGTGGAAGAAAGGCAGAACATTAATAAAGCAGTGACACTTTCATAACTCCATGTGTTCTTTTGTGTGTGTGGGTTTTTTTAAAACCACAAGTCCTTCCCTACCAGAAATGATTTCTAATGCTGGAGGAAGCTGAAATTCTCAACATTTATTTCATTTTATTTTTTTAAATGATTTTTGTGGTTTATTTATCAAAATTTAGAGCACCAAAATTTTAAATTAAAAGTTACCTGCAGTGCTTTACTGTTCTCAAATAAGGAAAGGTTCTGTGCACTGCCAGATATCTGAAAATCATATTGTCTACAAAAGCTTGCAGGCAGGAGGATGAATAAAGTGTAGGTAGGACTCACACTTTCTGAAGGAAACAGCATACCTGACGGTTGGCCTGAACCTGCCGAGCAACTTGTTTGACAGGTAAGCAGCTTTGGAGATAGAGGAAAGTTTCTACATCTGGTTTGGTTTGGCCTAAACCAAACTGCACAGCTGACATGAACACATGTTTTAACAAGATTTTATTTTTTTGTAGCATAGATCGGAACAGATTGTCTTTAGCGTTTGTTTGCTTTTGCACACGTTGATGTGGGATTTTCGGAAAACTATTAGGTCAGGGAGATTTTTCTCATATACCTCTACGGGAAGGTGTGTTTTCTTCTTATTCTATGGGACAACATCTGTTCTCTGTTTCCCAAGCACTGGAACTCCCTGGTTCATTTCACCTTTTGCTTCTTTATGTTCCAATGCAGCTGTAAAGCTTCTTGCTGCAGCAGTATTTTGACCTAACCATATTCTAAAAATGTACTCTGCCAGGCATTTCCTAGATTGTTGGCTTTCATCCATTCTGTATTTTAAATTGTTTTTAGGGTCTTTGAAAAAATATGTTTGCTGCCTTGGATGTTTTATTTGAAGTGAACAGACGGCATGTAAACATATTAAACAAATATCTCAGCCTATAGCCTGAGGTGGTACAGTCCAGAAAGAGCTGTACCACATTCTATTTCTGAACATACTTTTCTTTTTTCACTCTTACAGTGAAATCCAATTCGTGGGGGTACAGGATTGCACCATTAGTCTTCTGGATCTTGTGCACAGTACCTGCTGGTATTATTTACTGATTTTTTTTACATGTATCCAGCTTAAAAGCTCCCTGGACTAGCTATGTCTGTGGTAGGGCATGGTGACATCTGTTTGATCAACATATAGTTCCTAGTAGTGCTAGCTTTTGCCATGAACTGGCAATTATTTATCCATGTGCTCCTCCCTCTGTCTTTTTACCGGGCCATGCTCTTGAGGTCAAAGTACTTCTCTGGCAATAACTTTTCAGCCGGCTGCTTGCCCTCCCCTACAGAGCATAGAGATGCATTCTTCACATTGTGTAAAATTCCTGCTCAGCACAAACACACGGTCACTAAAGCAGTCCGCAGGAGGCCTCAAGCACGAAGCAGCGAGAGAAACCAGCATGATGGACATTCTTCAGATCCTATTAGGACCAAATTACTGTGACGATTCAACACGCAAATCACTGCTAATTAAGGGATCAGAACTGGCATGGAGGGGAGGGGGGTTAATATTGTCCTCTCCCACTGCAGTCCCAAGGAGAATCCCTCCTTTGATCCTAGAGTTTGTTTTGGGGAAAATTCCCCCAATGGGTCCCTTTGCACCCATAAATCTATAGGAAGGCAATGCCAACACTGGAATGCTGGTATCATGGGGCCCGCTGATTTGTCAATGAGGTTTGTGCCAGCTTAAACTCCCACACAGTATACAATGGTTGACTCTTGTTGGTGGCAGAGCAGTGGTCAAACTTTAGCCACAAACTGTTTTCCTTATTAAAATGGCTAACATGAGAGCTGGAAGCCAGGTAATTAACTTGCTATTATCTAAAAGGAAACTGTGCAATACATTAGTTGTGTGAATGCTTTTGGGCTCCAAGATGAATGTCTTATCACAGAACTGAAGAGTTGGAATGGACCACGAGGATCACCTAGTAAAACACAGGAATTTTTCACCCAGTGTGGGGCTCAAACCCACAACCCTGAGATTAAATGTCTCCTGCTCTGATCAGCTGAACTATCCCTTCTCCTCCTGTACAAGCCCAGCCGAAATGAATGGCAGGCCTCTGGCACAGTTTCCATTCCCTTCAAAGCTTGTGCAAATGACTTTCCCAACAAATGACCTAGTATCTAACACAACTTCTTGTCAATGAAAGATTGTAAGTAACTATTCCAATTAAAGCACTCTGTAAATAACAAGTAATGAATGTGAAAGAAGCTCCCTTTTAGGTCATAAATCGACTATATACAACTTCCCGAGCTCCTATGACGTACTATCCCTTCCTGGGCAACCTTCTGGGAACCTTATACCAGGGGCGGTTGGTGCCAGCATCAAAAGTGAGGAAAAGAGCATGAATGTGACTCTTTACCTTTGCACCACTGTTTATTACACTCCAGCCATGCAGAAGTCAAAGGTTTCTACAACATACACACACCCCATGCATACCTCTTTCCTCGCAACCAAGAAACCTTGCCACAGCTCAAGGACACATGGACACATTGCAGGCAGGCAAAAGCACCTGGGGAGTACAAGGATCAGGGCTGGTGAGGAGGTGTGGTCTTGCAGAGGGGCATGTTTGGGAAGAGTCATGAGGCCCTGATAAGAGGAGGCAGCCTGAAGGGCTGGAGGCTCCTGTTGCCTGACCAAGCATACTGTCCCGCTTTGGGGACTTCTACTGCCAACTATAATTGCACAATAGTTAGTTAGGAAAGTGGGCAGGGAGAATTGGGGCAGGGAGGGAGTTGCCCCTGTACTTCTGCTGGAGGGTTGTTACTCACCAGGAAATCTTGGGGAAGTCAAAGATTACAGTACTCACTTGAACGTTTTCACTACCAGAAGTAGTAGAGTGAGCAAGTGAGCACACTACTACTACTGATGCACACAGGGACCTACTACTACTACTACTACTACTACTACTACTACTACTACTACTATCTTTTTACAAAGTCATCCAAATACATTGAAAATCCAAACACATACAATATATAAAAGACTAGATAGCCACCATTGAATAAATCAGGCAACTTTAGATTTAGCTTTAAAGATCTTGGCTAAGCACCCCTGAAACAATCTTGGTAGTTTCGGGGGTATCAACAAATACTGGCTTACAGTGAGGCATCAGGCATAAGCCTGCAT